TATCACCATGCGGATGAGGATCCCCCATTGAGAGGTTCCTGAAACCGCGTTCAGCAATAAGACCATATCTACGGCGGGGCTATATTGCGGCCCCCCGACAAGAGCCAGGGTAGGGCTTCAAAATAAACGAAAAAGTGCATCCGACAAGGAGATGACTTATTGATTAGTAGGAGAAATCAAACATTTGCTATGTTGAACAATATATGGAAGTCAAAGAAAGGTACACGGTTAAAAGACACAAGTCAGAATATATTATTTCCTATTTATAAAACAAAATACTTTTCACAATTGTCTTGGAAATGCCCGGCGAAGAAAAGGCAGCGATGCTGGTATCTCAAACTCTGCCCTGCCCATCCCCTTTCCAGGGAATCACCCGAGAGCTGCATACACAAAATGTTTTGTGAAAAGTTTTTTGATGGTTATCTCCCCTTTTTAATCGACAGCGACGACGACAACAACTACTACCACCACCACCACTACTACTACTGCTGCTACTACTGCTGCTACTACTACCACTGCTACTACTACTAGGGCTACTATTTCTTCTTCTTCTTGTTCAGGATGTTGAGGTTCATTGCTGCAGATAATCAAAGGCCTCCATCGTCTCTGTTATTAACCGTTTCTTTGATCTTGGCCATTCATGGCCTAGGACAATTTACCTCTGTTAGACCCTTATATCCAGTTTTGTCCTTTTTAGGACGAAATTTTTTGTCATTTGAAGCCCTACTCTGGCTTTTGCCAGGGGCCGCAATATAGGCAGGCCATACATATGGCCAAATGTCTGAACGCGGTTTCTGGGACCTCTCCACGGCGATCCTCATCCGCATGGTGGCACTTTGTGTCATTGGGTGTTTATCGTTTGTGTGATGTCCTGGTGGGGTAGAAAGTCAAGTCAAGTCAAGTGTTTACCTCTCCGTCGTCTGACTGTCTTCAAATACGTCCATCTGTATCAGTCTATTGGGCCCCATGATGCTAGTGGTCAGTGGCGATTTCAACAGATTAGGAACTTCATCGCTGTTTCTCGATTTCCATTGCCTGCTTAATCTGTAATAATGTTTCGTCTCTGCCAGCTGTGATCTAGGTTTCAAAACTACACAAGAACAACTTCTAGCGGGCGACTTAAGGACGTATGACATATTTAAGTGCGCAATAGTAATAATAATAATTATATATCGAATGAGAATTACATATAAATGATTATAATAAAATATATGAAATTATTTTTAAAAAAGGTAGGAACAAATCGTCAAAGCGAGACACGCCTACAAATGGTGGGCGAACGGGGACGGGTGGGGGCGGTGGGGGCGGGGGGAGGGGGGCGCTAAATGTCCCTTAGCTTCATGCTGAAATGTGATTTAAAAAAAAAAAATAAAAAAAGGATAAGTTTCTGATACGTAATCTTATTAATGATACGTGTTTGAAATTTAATTTCTTCTTCTTTTTTCTTCTTCTTATTCTATTTCTTCTTCTTTTTCTTCTTCTTCTTCTTCTTCTTCTTCTTCTTCTTCTTCTTCTTCTTCTTCTTCTTCTTCTTCTTCTTCTTCTTCTTCTTCTTCTTCTTCTTCTTCTTCTTCTTCTTCTTTTCCATGTGATTTCAATAATGATGCATATATAACATGTGATTTCTATAATGATGAGTATACAACATGTGATTTCAAAAACGATGAGTATCTACCATGTGATTTCAATAATGATGCATAACACGTGATTTCAAAAATGATGTGTTTATAATACGTGATTTCAATTATGATAAGCATCTTAAATGTGATTTCAAAAATGATAAGTACCTAACATGTAATTCAACAATCAGAACTAGCTGAAATGTGAGATAAAAATTAAAATTGTATACAATTTCATGGTAACATTTATCGTTTGAATGAAAAAAAAAAAAGTTTAATCTATTTTAACACCGTCAGCTTTCTTGAGAAGATGGTTCTATCTCTACAGTTGTATAGACTACTCGGTTCTTAATCAGGGCGGACGCCTTTACTTCCTGACAATCTATTTTCTGTTACATATCTAAGGTTGTTCCAGGCCAGAGATTTCCAGGTCAGCCTGAAAAATGCCCATTCTAAGAAACTGGAATTGATGACTATCGATTATGGTTTAGGTAGGAGAAATGACAGAGGAGAAATACTGATAGAATGGGCAAAAGCAAATGGTTTGGTGATGGGAAACATCTGGTTTAAACAGCATAAGAGACGACTTTACGCATGGAAAATCCCTGATAAGAACGCTTTAAAAAAAGCATTAGTAGCACCTCTGGCAGGGTGACCGTCATGTCCTTCTTAAGGCAGTTCGCCGTCACTGGGCTAGGTCTGGCACTTAGCTCTCTTCTGTGGCTCCCAGCAGATTTCATCATGCAACAGCGGCCCGCCCCCGGGCAACAGCTTTGACGGACTGGCTAAACCAGGAGAGGGTAGCCGACCTGGTTCTTAACCACTCGGTGATTAGGATATGCCTACCCTGCCTGCAAAGACTGGATCGGTGGATTGTTCAAACGAATCCTCTTTTTTTAGTTCAACGGACAAAAAGGCGATTATCAGCAAGCTCTGTAGAGAGCTTCGAGCAAGGCAGGACACTTAAGACGCCTTAGTCATCCACTCCACCTTGGTCAATTTAAGTTCTCCCGAGACTGTTCTGCCACTGGATCAAGATGGACACAGGCGAGAGAGTGAGGTCGACGAATTGCGTAACTCTTCCTCACCTAAATCCAAGTCACTTTCATCCAATTAATCGTACATTTGTATAAACGTAAAGGAAACCGCCATGTTTGTGACAATCACCGTTGAATTTCTCTTCTGTCTATTGCTCGTAAAATAGTGGCTAGAATTCTTCTCAACCGTCTTATGGTGCATATTGATCGAGACCTCCTGCCTGAGAGCCAGAGTGGAGCGAGGGACCATTGAGATGATTTTTGCTGCTTGCAAACTCCAGGAAAAGTGTCAAGAACAAAACCGCGACCTGTGTTCTACCTTCATAGACCTCACAAAGACCTTTGATACAGTCAGTAGAGGACCTCACAAAGACCTTTGATGGAGTCAGTAGAGGAGCTCACAAAAGGCCTTTGATACAGTCAGTAGAGGACCTCACAAAGGCCTTTGATACAGTCAGTAGAGGACCTCACAAAGACCTTTGATACAGTCAGTAGATGAGGACTGTGGGAAATCATGGTTAAATTTGGCTGTCCTCAGAAGTGTATTAGGATTGTGCAACAGTTCCATAAAGGTAAGCAGGCCAGAGTGCTGCAGAAGGGAAACTTGTCGGACCCTCTTGCTGTCTCAAATGACGTAAAGCAGAGATGTGTGCTTGCACCAGCCTTGTTCAGTATGATATTTGCTGCCATGCTTGTCAATGTTTTGATGATAACGATCCAGGAAGTGCTCTAAATTACCGTACAGATGGCATAAATTACCGTACAGATGGCAGCTTGTTTTATTTGAGGAGGCTTCGAGCCAAAACAAAAACTAAAACAACTACAATTTTATTTGCTGACGACTGCGCTCCAAACTCCAGTTCTGAGGTCAGTTTGCAGCACATCATTAATAGATTTTCTGAAGACTACCAATCAACTAACTAACTATCAACACTGATAAAACTGTTGATAACTCGACAGATTAACTTATCTTGGCAGTACCCTATTTCAGAAAGTCAACATCGACGATGAGATCAATGTTAGAATCTCAAAGGCCAGTAATAGTTTCCAGTGTCTGGAACAAAAGTTGGTTATCTCTCTGCTGACCAAACTCAAGGTTCACAGAGCTGTAATTCTTCCATTGCTGATCTACGCTTGCGAAACATGGACTGTGTATCAGCGTCCTGCCAAAAAGTTGAATCAGTTTCATAAAACTTGTCTCAGAAAGCTGCTCACAATCAAATGGCAAGTTAAGATCCCAAATACTGTGGTAAACCTGCCTAGCATCCAAACGATACTGAAGAATTATCAACTGCGTTGGGCTGGTCACCTAGCCTACATATCAGATTATCGCCTAACAAAGAGAGTATTTTATGGGGAGCTCCATTAAGGTAGGAGATCCCAGGGAGGACAGAAAAAGGGCTATAAAGACACTCTGAAGGCTGTCTCACTTCTTTTGGCATCAACACAGCGACGTGGGTGGCTGCTGCAGAAGACTGTTTTAGATGGCGTGCGTCCCTCAGCCATGGTACATCAGCCTGCCAGACAGCGGAGGTTGCACGGGGAGAGAAACGGAGGAAGAATTGAAAGAACCGTATTGCTAATACAACACTTACTGAGGCTTCCATCTGTTGTCCGCATTGCTCAAGAACTTTCCAGGCTCATACTGGACTAATTAGCCACCGCCGTACTCATAATCATTGATCATTGCTACTTTGGATAAAAGTGGTCTTCATCACTTGTGGTGGACGAACAACAAGACTACCTTTATGCACAGCATATATTTCTTGCATATTACTACCCAGTCTGTTTTTTCACTTTAGATTCTTTATCTTCTTTTACAGCTGTTTTTTCACTTTAGATTCTTTATCTTCTTTTACAGCTTGCACCTGTTTCTGAGCACGGGAAACAGTTTGTTTCAGTTTATAAGAACACATAGCTTCAGATGTGCCAACCGCATAGATAGGTGCTGCAATCAAACACCCAACAGCAGCTGCGCCCAAAACAACAGGTGAAGCCGCGACTGCTAAAGCAGTTACAGCAACACCTAATGTAATCCCACCAGCAACTGCTAGTCCAGTAGACAATGTTACAACCTTGGACCAGCCAGCTTCTTCTTCCCTTAACCGTTCTATTTGCCTGGCCAGAGAGTGGACCTTTTCGACATCATCTAGAGCAGTTTCAACTGACTTAACTTTCGACATCAATTTGTCGAGCAATCCAGTTCCTCTATCTTTTGTCTGATATTTTTTGCTTTACATCATCAACTTTCTGTAAAAATGTGTTCTGATCCCTGCCGGATAGTGGTTCTTTCAGATTAAATAACATCTTTATGGATTGTTTCACTCAACATGGGCAAGTTTTCTTAAACGATCAACTTATCTTGTAAAGCCTTTGCCTCTTGAAAACAAGTACTGGTATATTTGCCGTTCAGTTTTTTTAAAGTGTTTGCCAGCTGCATTATTTCTCGTCTTTGTTTAAGTTTTTTATCAGGATCCTTTTCTCTGTTGTTGATTAGCAAAAATCTGTCATTGAAGTCGTAATAAAACTGCCCGAAAGACCCTGTCTGTTCCCTGCACCATGTATAAAAATCTTTGCCACCGCATCCTTCAAACTCCATGTCTTCCTGGAATGTATCTCCACCAACGACAACAACGATAAGATTATCACAATACTTCTCTCCAAAAATTGACTTCAGAGCTTCTAAAGTTTTCTGATCTTCTTCTGTAAACCGAACAAGTTTGGTGACAAGAATAAATGCATCGACACCCCCATAACACATTCTAATAGCCTTGCCCATATTTTCCACAGCCTTCTCCTGGTCTTCCCCGCTTTTCAGATCTGTGTCCATTAAACCAGGACATTCCACTACTTTGACAATAAAGTTGTCCAAACGTGCAAACTTGCTAGACACAACCTTCGTTTCTGAAGTCCAATTACTTGATTCCTTGAACAAGCTTTGACCCAGAATAGTATTTCCTGTGGCGCTCTTTCCCGCCCCTGTTTTTCCCAGCAGCATCAAACACAGTTTCTCCTCTTCTTCCAGTCTGGCCGCCATTTCCTGCAGAAGACACCAACAGTTTTCGAGCTGTAACAAAACAGATTTATGACATAAAATAAGTGTGCCGACATGTGAGGTACTTAATGATAAATGTTTGTGACGTGTGAGGGTAGATATTCAAGGGTCTACATGAGGCTTAAAAAGCGCTCAACAACATGAAACATCTTTTAACTCATCGACAGTACAAATTAAAATTACGAATCATCATCATCATCGTCATGATCCTCATCACCGCCGCTACCACAACAAACATCATCATCATTATCATTTTCTTCTTCTTCTTCTTCTTCTTCTTCTTTTTCTTCTTCTTCTTCTTCTTTTTCTGTAGAAAATGTAAATGGGACTGAACACCCCGTTTTTCCGTGATCTTTGTTGCGGCGCCACATTATTCGAAACTCTAACTACTGAAACGGCAGGTAAGCGAGGTAGACACTGCGCCACTTGACCTCTGACGCCGGGTGCTGGCCGTGACTGTAAAACAGCATAAACTAATAATTAATTACAACACGAAATAATGATTCAACTTACACCTGAATTTGAATGAGCATATAAAATAAGCAGTTTCTCAACGATAGAACTCCGTCTCGAAAAGTCAGGAATTAAATGAGTATCATCAGTGCTTTCATGGTTGACCGTGTAACTTGCGATGTAAGTATTTGCGGTACAGATTTCACCTCAGCGCTTTTGAGCCGTCCAGAATTCGATCTTTACATTTTATACAACAGTTATCGTGGCCTAGAACCTTTTCCCAGGAATACATTATTCTAGGGACCAATAACGTTGCAAGGTCAGGTGAGTAACACCCAGTAGGAAAAACTGCCTGTTTACCTCCACTGCCCTTCACTGGGTCATTAGTTACATGACAAATAAAAATAATACTGTACAACCTGGTTTAAAACGGGAAATTATCTCGCGTTAGTATTCCTATTATTATTTTTAGGGCTCCTGACGGTCTTGTCTTGTACTGGCTGATTTTCCTAGAAAGTGATCACGCGCCCTCATTTCGTACGTAGGTACATACACGCACACATTATTTAACCGGCCTTGAAATAATGAGAGCAAATAATTTATTTCATGCCTTTCAACACAGTATTGACATGTTTAAAAATAAATCTTTGCATTTATTTGTGTGCATTAGTTAACAGGCACTCTTCCGAATACCGGCCCCATATTATTTACTGCCCAAAACATTCCTTTTAGAGCCTCAAGGGTTTCAAGCGTGTTTCTGTTCCATATTTTTAACTACATGACCTCTCAAGTCCCTAACAACGACCTCTTGAGGCCCTGAATGGGATTTTTTGTCTTTGAATAATATGGGGCCGGTATGTGAGAAGTCTGTATGAAGGAAAGCTTAAAATATTATGTGATGAGATTGAAAGATTTAAATATTCAGATCTTAGGAATTTGTGAACATCGTTGGAGTGGCAAGGGACATTTTATCAATGAATATGGAAGCTTTTTCGTATATTCTGGTAGAGATGTAAGAGGCCAGAGCGGAGTGGCATTTTGTTTAGATAAAACAACAGCAAAAGCTATTATGGGATATAATCCAGTTAGTGATAGAATCCTAACTATCAGACTTAAAGGCCGTCCAAAAAACATAACTTTCATGCAGGTATATGCACCAACTTCAACAGCAGAGGAGGGCGAAATTGAAGATTTTTATGCCATACTGCAAGACACATTAAATAAAATTAATCAGAATTATATAATAATAATAATGGGAGATTTTAATGCTAAAGTAGGTACAGGCAGAGCTGAAAATGAGAGACACGTTTTAGGAAAATTTGGATTGGGTAATAGAAATGAAACAGGAGAAAAATTGATTGAATTTTGCATAGAAAAATGAATTAACAATAGCTAACACACTTTATAAACAACACCCTAGAAGGCTTTTCACATGGACATCCCCTGACGGTGTTACCAAAAATCAGATAGATTACATTTTAATACAAAGAAGATGGAGATCGAGCATAACATCTGCAAAAAACCTGCGAAGTGCAGATTGCGATACAGATCATCAGTTACTAGAAGCAGATCTGAAATTAAAACTCAAAAAAAATGCTTACCCGAGGACCAAGGCCATTTCTATTTGATCTCACAAAAAATACCAGATGCATACAACGTAGAAGTGAAGAACCGTTTTGAGGTCTTGATGTCTGTACAAGAGGAAATGACACCTGATGAACTGGCGGTACAAGCTAGGGATATCTTGATAACAGCAGCTAAAGACCTAATACCCACCAAGACTAAGCAACATAAACCATGGATCACACCATACACGTTAGAACTAATAAAACAACGAAGGGAACTGAAAAAGAAAGAAGAAACCAATGACAGTAGGATGAAGTATAAATTTTTAACACGAGAAATAAGAAAGTACACAAGAAAGGATAAAAATCAGTATGTACAAGATTGCTGTATTAAAATAGAGCAGCATCATAAAAATGGAAAAGATTACGAAATGTTCAAGGAAATGAAGTTATTGACAAGAAATTTTAAACCTTAGTTAAATGTTATTTGTGACAAGTTGGGAAATACCTTAACAGAATCTAGACAAATTCTAGGAAGATGGCAGGAATACTGCAGCGGAATGTATGATATGAATGACAGTGAGGATATGAATGATATACATGAACCAGTAACAGTAGAGGCAGAACCTGAACCTTCATTAGATGAAATTTCATGGGCAATAAGGAGCCTGAAAAATGGTAAATCACCTGGATGTGATGAGATACCAGCTGAATTGATTAAAGCGGGAGGAGAAGAAAGCACAAAAATCTATCATGCATTATGTGAAAAGATATGGAAATATGGTATTTGGCCAAAAGACTGGAAGAGAACTATCTTCATTCCAATACCAAAAAAGGGTGACCTGAAATTATGTACAAACTATCGAACTATTGCCCTGATCAGTCATGCAAGTAAAATTCTACTAAAAATTATAATGAGAAGACTGCATAAGAAAATGGAAGAAGAGATTAATGTAGCTCAGGCTGGATTTAGACAGGGAAGAGGAACAAAAGATCATATATTCAACATGCGTTTAATAATAGAGAAGTGTAGAGAATTAAATGTAAATCTGTTCTTATGTTTTGTGGATTATTCAAAAGCATTTGACTGTGTACAACATCAGAAGCTTTTGGGAAATCATGAGGAATATGGGCTTTCCATCACATATAGTGCAGCTCATTAAAATGCTCTATCAAGACCAACAAGCAGCAGTCAGAATAGATGGAGAGACATCAGACTGGTTTGGCATCAAGCAAGGAGTCCGTCAGGGATGTGTGCTGTCACCGTATTTGTTCAACGTGTACGCCGAAAATATAATGAGAAATGTAAGAGATGATATAAACAAGGAACAATATGATGCCCTAAACATCGGTGGTCATGAAATACCAGAAATTCGTTATGCTGATGATACAGTATTACTATCAACATCACAAAATGGTTTAGAAAACTTATTAACCTCACTCCAAAGAAATAGTGAAAATCATAACTTATTTCTTAACACAGCAAAAACCAAAGATAATGCATACAAAACAAAACTGCCATGGAGAAGGAAATATATGTTAATGAGGAAAGATTGGAAGTGGTGGAAAATTTCGAATATCTTGGGTCACTGGTTACCAACAATGGTGACACAATGAAAGAAATTAAACGGCGACTATCAATTGCTCTTCAAAGACTAAAACAACTGAATAAATTATGGAATTGTACAGATAGAATTACAAAGGTCAGATTTTTAAGAGCATGCATCTTTCCCATTGCAACATACGCCTGTGAGACCTGGACACTTACCAAACAAGCGGAACAGCGCATAAATGCATTTGAATACAAATGTTACAGACAGGTTCTAAGAATATCTTGGGTAAAGAAAAGAACAAATGCATCCATACTTCAAGAGCTGAATATTGAAGAGGGTTGGCTAGTAAAGACAATAAAACAAAGAAAATTGAAATATTTTGGTCACTTGAAACGTCATGGAAGTCTAGAGAGAACAATAATGGAGGGGTACATGCCTGGGAAGAGAGGAAGAGGAAGGCCAAGGAGAAGATGGGTGCAGGATGTGGCAGATGATCTCCAGATGGGTGTATCAGACGCAGGACATCTTGCTCATGATAGGAAGGTTTTCCGGAGGGTTGTTATGGCAGCGAGGTTCCGCGAGGGACATGCTACTGAATGAATGAATTTGGAAGAGTGCCAGTTAACATATTGTGCTTGCGCATTTATCTTTAGTCGGACATGTTAAAACGACTTTGAAAAACCATTTTTGTGTCCCATAAGGGATGTATGTGTATTTGGAAAGGTTGTCTGGATGTGATCTATCACTCTGCCAGCCTTAGTGAAATTTTGTGATCCTAGGGTGTCAAATCTTCAAGTAGCAGCCAGAGGAGGACAAAAACGCACACGTTCTTTACCCCTTAATGTCCAGTGGGGGCTACACAAGTGAAAGTCCAACAATTGATTCACGACAATTTTCGTCCAGAAGATCTGGTTATTCTCCCTCACCTTCCCCCACACCTCCCCCCCCCCCAATCCTTTGTCTAGACAAGCCAGATGCTACTTGCAGGCCTGCCTGTGTGGGTAAGGATTCGATCAACAGTTGCTTCCTATCTATTATTGCCCCAATTCGCCAACTCGAGGCAGACATGATGGCCTAGTAGCTAGCAAACTGCTTTGCTAACCCGGTGATCATGTTTAGGTTCGAATCAGGTTGGCCGAGTGGTCTGTACAAACATGGCCCGAACAAACCACGACCAGTGCGACTCGAGGATAGACGTATGACTTTTACAGAACTTAAGAAATATTGACACACTGACAGACATTCAGAAGATGGTCAGACAAAAAGTCAGACAGTTTAGGTAATAGTCAGACAAACAGAAGAAACCAACAAACAAATTTATCTAGTAAACACGCACGAATAGCTTGTTTACTTGTTTGTTTTTATAATAATAATTTGAAAACGACTGGAGCGGGAAAAGGGGGGGGGACTT